CAACTACATGAGGTGCTTGTCTGTAGAGAAGCGACTCGCAGCTATAGCTTGCATCACACGGGCACAACTATTCCTGGTTGATGATGGTTGAAGTGAGCACGTCAGAAACATGTTCGTTATGCAACAACCTCAGAATGAAGGCAAAGAGGGCGTCGGATACAAGTTAAGCAGGAAGTTATTGCGGCCTAAGCCTCAGCGGCTTGAGTTGCTTTGGAAAGAGATTTGGATTTTATTTTTTTCTGATGTGAAGTGAATTGGATCTGGGTCTTTGGCAGAATATCAAATTCAAACGTAATTCGGCGAACTCAGTAGTCGATCCAAACTGTGTCCTAGCAGCACACTAGCCGTTAGCCATTTCCTAATACGTACCTCCCAGTCCCGGTGTCTTGTGCCTCTCTCGATGTTTGCCAAAGTATCTATCTATATATATACCCTCTGTATGCTGGCCAATGTCCATTGGGATTCCCTCGCGCATTATACCACAACCTAGAATAAAGTTCCATTGTGCACTAGCAGTGCATATAGCCATGTATATATTCTAGGTTACTGATATTTCTCCCGGCGCCCAGGGGCATCGATGGTGACTTCGTCAGTCATGTGATTTTTGGTGTAGCACGGTCTCTCAGAGATGCTCAACCTATCTTTGTGAAACCTAGTGGTTATTATATGCATGTATTCCACGTAGCTTAGACGAGATGAAGTGTAAAGAATTCCCCTGGCATTGGACGGATAGACTAGAATATATCTCAATGACGATGATGACCGAATACGAATAATAGAGCATCAAGACCTGCATCGGCTAGTAAACGGAAGAATCTATATCAATTCGATCTTCTCGGAATATTGCATTGGTAATATAAGGCCCCGATGCATGACTATCGTTTCGTTGCGGCCACTAGGCTATCTAGCGCATCACTATTGGTTCATGGCAGCTGAATCGTGGATCTGGCACATTGGCATGCCAGTTGTTGAGCTGATAGAGCCTAACCAACTGAGCTGTTGCTTAGTTCGGCCGTGATCAGCAAATTAATCAAATCCAATCCATCCATGGAGGGAAAATCGCAACAATCTGTGGTTAGGTTAGTTGTATCCACCCGGGTTCTCGAGCCCCCAAACTTAGTATGGTAATTTATTTTTTTCTAGACTTATTCCAGGACTAAACAACACCTTTTGCAGTGATAGACCACGCTCCCATTGCTAACGAGATGTCTGTAGTGTCTTCACCACCCCATAATAAACAATCATTGCTAGGGCCAAACCATGCGTCATTGCTGGTTTTAAGAATTGGCAGTGGACAAGCACGGTTATCACCGGTTCTGGGCTAAATCAGCAGTGATAATGGCAGTACTTTACTTACGGACTAAATCTCTAGAAATCTAGAAAAACAATATTGCTACAATTAAAACTGAGAGCGAGGTATCTTGCTTACAGTAGGAGTTTCATGTCCAATCCTAAAAAACTACAGTGATTTTTGGTGAAGAGTGCCCGCCAAAATGGAGAGAAGGGATAGAAAAAAAAAGACTCGGGTTGGAGGAAGGGGAAACATATGTGTGGAGAGTAACATATTGTGTAGACCCATTACCGCTAGTTCAACCTAGAAAAACGACGGTGAGGAAACAGCAGTTCTAGTCACAAACCTGCAGTATTAAGCACCACGTCACTGCAGGTTCGTGTCTAACTTAGACCTGCACTGATTATATGGCTATCACTTCTAGTAGTTCTTAAGGGCTCAATCATTTGAGGGGGCTAGGCTTTAGAATCGGCAGAACTCGCGGACCACACCTAGATTGCTTCCTCAATCTCAGGATCTATGACCGTGGTCTTCCGGTATCTAGTTGTGCATGCTCTTAGACTAGTAATTTTCGTATTGGATAGTAATTTGTACTCCCTCTGTTCCAAAATATAGTGCTTTCTCTATTCCTGTGCTTCAATTTTGATCATAAATTTAACCAACGAGACCGACTGCAGCGGGAGCAAACGTTATACCAGTGAATTCATATTCAAAAGAAGTTTTCAATTATATAATTTTATCTCCCGCCGCACTCGGTCTCGTTGGTTAAATTTATAGTCAAAGTTGGACCTCGGGAAGCGCGGGCGCACTATATTTTGGAATGGAGGAAGTATATGTTACTATTACTAGTCTATATTACTATTTCTATAGTGGAGAGTAATATTTATGTGGTGTCATGTAATACTTTATTTATTAGATTGTAGAACCATCTTGTCTTGATATACTACCTCCGTCACGGTTTAGAAGGCGCGCTTGGAAATTCTCTGAGACCTAGGTAGTTATCTATTGGTTGTGAGATGGGATAAAAAATAGCATTCACACTATGCATGCATATAAAAATAATATATCGGAGTACTAATTAGCTACTAGAAATAAATGCAATGTGCCCTAAACCTTGTCTATTGTGAAAACGCACACAAATTTAACTGTGCCTTCTAAACTGTGACGGAGGGAGTATGTGATGTTACTTATAGTGTTAGGAACATGTTATGTTAGCACATGCCTCTCTTTTCTTATTCATTACTTATCACATCATTTATTTTGCCTAGATATGTGTGATGTTAGGGCTTCTCCAACACTAACCCTCAAACCTCTTGCAACCGTCCGGACCACGCTGTCCGGACCGCGGAAGACAACCAACGCGGTCCTGTATCGGTCCACGACAAGGTTTGGACG